CTAGAAAAATGCGTGTACAATGCAAATACTTGCCCTATGTTTGTAGGGTGTTCAAATAACTCCAGATGCTCTGAGAGCACTGAACTCCAGGCAGAGAGACTCTTTACTAGAAATAGGTGGAGAAGCTATCAATGGCCAGACTTCTAAGCTAGTGATGTGCCAGGCTTTCCTGTGACTTGGAAAAGATGTACCTGTTGCATTTCCATTTTGTCCTCCTGTACCAAGGAGTGATGAGAGCATCCCTTACTGAGTTCACAGGGATGTTATGAATATCCTTAGGCTCCAAAGTTACTGGTAATAGGAATTAAGCTGAATAGAAACAGGACCCATTTTTAAATCCTTGGAAGTACTTTTATTCTGGGTTTGATTACTGGATATGCAGCTTGCATTTCAGAAATACCTTGTGCTCCTCAAGTTAGTCAATGTTTTAGATCATTCATGTGGTTTTCTCTTCCTTTAGGTCTCAGGCTGCAATTTGGCAAGTGGGTTGCCCAATTAATTTGTAGAGCTTCATTTATTATATTTTGTGAATATTTTCATTAAGCTGCTTACAAGAAATGGTGTTCCTTTATATTACAGAAAGACTGTGATTTGGAAAGAGCCCCTGATGAGAAACTGGGTGAAAATCAGCACTTTGATTTATCCAGTGGGCCCAAAAGCCTTCCATGGACCAGGAAGCTCTATGAATTCTACAGTGCTCCCATCGTCAAGTTTTGGTTTTATACGGTTGGTCTCATTGCAACAATATATTTAGTGTTAAAGTTGATTAATGCTAATGCTAATGTTGATAATGATATGTCTGGCTTGCTAGTTTGTGATAAAAATATAGACGGGTGATAAAAAAGAGCGAAGGGATGACCATAAAGGGAGGAAAGAAAACTGGAAGAAGGTCAGGAAAGGTTGAGTGGGGCCAGCTTACCTTGGAAATTTGACAACAAACATTTCCTTTTCTGGAGTGCTTAGAGTCAGCATAGCTGCCACTGAGCATTTGAAGGTTTGTAGAACAATAAAATTAACAGCAATGTTTGTAGGATTATGTGATAGGTGAATGTATTCTTTTCCCAACTTGGGCAAGAAAATCAGTAGTCAAATCCATTTTTTCTTTGTGGGAATAATATATAGATAAAAAATGCAAATGTTTGTTTTTTTTTTGTTCTTTTCCCAACTTGGGCAAGAAAATCAGTAGTCAAATCCATTTTTTCTTTGTGGGAATAATATATAGAAAAATGCAAATGTTTGATTTTTTTTGTCTTCAATATCATAAATGTATAGAGGACAATATATATGTATGGATAGAAATACAAAGAAAGCATGAACTGTACTGTAAGTATATTGAGTGCTTTGCATATTTGTTTATTAGCATTTATTTTTAATGCATATTTTTACTTAGATTTCTAATAACCAAAATTTTGTATTTCTAAAACATTCGAAATGTAACTTTTATTTTTCTAAATACATTATGTTTAAAAACATTTCCTTGGTCAACCACAGCTTTATTCTATACACTTATCAAGTTAGTATATAGCGCTGAATGAATTTTATCTATTTCCAAAAATTAAATCTCTTTTCAAGTTAGGAAATTTCACCACATTTGTGAATATGCAACAAAATATCCAAGAGATTGACAGAGGCTCTGAGGGAATTTTAAATGTAGTCACATCATTGAGAAAGAGGATTCAAGTCTCTCACCTTAGAAATGTCTAGCTCAGAGGCTTCTAGAAGTAAAGCTAAGCAATAGAATAGAACCAGCCAGATCTGCCCACTATATCAGATAGTGAGGAAGTGGTGTCTTGCTACAAATATTTTTATGAAAAAGTTAAAGTTCAATTATTTTTCTATCAAATTTTTAAGAACTGGAAAGAAGGGATCAGTAGGTATTGTAGGTACCAGACTCTCACATGATCTATTGTGGTTTGAGGGACATAACTGGTCACTTGAAACTCATGCCAGGTGCATTTGTATGCATGCCCAAAATCCCAAGAGGAGAAAGGAGACGGCATGGTGGCATGGCCAACTTCTTTGTGGTGTGATTTCTCACTTTCTGTCTTGCTTTCTTTCTGAATTCTTTGGTTGCATGTAGCCATTGGACTAATATGCAAATAGTCTCAGAATATCTAGTCAGTCGTTCTTAAATCGAAAACCTTGTGCTACTTTCTCAAGTTGAATGTCTATTTATTAAATATGTTTTTAGTTTTTTGTTTATAAATATGTCATATTCACACATTCATACTGCCATACATTGTATCTGTTAGAAGGGAAGCACTGTGGTCGAATATAACATAAGGTCCAGATTGTTAAGTAGAACTTAAAGACATAGCACCCAGTACTTGAGGTGGGGCAGGAAGCAAAGAGTATCGCATGTAGATGCTGCCCCTGAGCTGCTTATGATTGGGTAGGGAGGCTCTGTACGTAAATGGTTCGAAGATAAGGTGGAGAATAATGAAATATAAAAATGAAATAAATGCAGACAAATGAACTAATATATACCTCAGAGTAAACGTTAAGGAGCCAATTTTCTGGTCACCATGAAGCTTATGACAAAAATGTAAAAGAAAAAAAAAAGACTCCTTAATAGAATAAATTTATTTAAATTATTTCCCTAAGGAGTCATTATTAAAAATTTTCAGACTTTCAGACATAGATGAAGAGAAATATAGAAGTATAGAATTAATGAAATTTACCTTAACTTTCTTACATGCTTCTCTTCTAATGTCCCTTATCACAGAGGCAGTAATACCCATTATGACTGTCCCAAAGACCACCTATTGTAAATAATGTCAATCTTGTGTAGTCAGAGATAGTTTAAGCCATTCTTTATGTTATCTGTCCACAAATAGACTTAGAAGGAGTCTTATCAAGTTATGTAGAGTTCAAAATACATGAGAAATGGGGATCAAGGTTAAAGTAATAGGATTCATATGAAAATGAACATGCAAACGTTTTTCTCTATACCGATCTAGGATGGTTTAATGAAATTATTGATTAGTGAGTGTTGCGTGTTGTCTTAGAAGGTTTTTTTTTTTTGGAGAGAGGTTTTTGATATAGGGTACATGCGCCCTCCAGAAAGACAGAGAGTGAAAGAGAGACAGAAAGTGAGAAATTACCCCCCGCCCCCGGGGAGGTGATGGCTACATTACAATCCCTCTCCTCTCAGACAGAAAGTGAGAAATTACCCCCCCCGGGGAGGTGATGGCTACACTACAATCCCTCTCCTCTCAGGATCATGGGAACACACACACACACACACACACACACACGCCTGACGTGAGTTTAAGCCACCCGGTCTGGGTCAAACAACAGTCGACTACATGGGAGTCCAGCGACATAGCCATTACACCAACTGCTAGTCCCATCTTAGAAGTTATTTAAAAGACTGTATAATTTCATACATTGCTAGTGACAGTAAAAATTGCTAATGCCTTTCTGGTCAGTAATTTAGCAATATTTGTGGCAGTTTTAAATGTGCATACCTAGCTATTCAACTTCTGGGAATACGCCTTAAGATAAGAACACTAGATGAGATTACAAAGCTCTTAATTACTCTTTCTTTTTTCTGTGTGTGTACTATGTTTTATTTCTTTAAAGAGACTGGAAATCTAGGTATAACATACAGTTAGAGTCCCTGCTGCAGTGCCTTGAAAAAGATGACAGTGCAGCTGTGCATATATGCGTGCATACGTGCCCCAGACCTGGTGGCTGTCTTTCTCACTTTCTCTCTCTCTCATGAATGCATGTGCCCTATAGCAAATCCAAATAAATAACTAAATAAAATTAAATAAATAATTATTTAAAAAAATATACAGTTAGTAATTAAACATTTACTGAATGTCTACCATGTCTTAGGCAGGCAGAATTTTAAAGATAAAAATACCAACAGAGTCCTTAATTACAAGGGCTTATTAATGAGAATCTTTTAATCCCAACATAAAATAGAGCTCCCAGAAGTCGAAAATGCCACAGGTCATTGTATTTGAAATGCATGTATTCTGACCCTGGTTATCTGACAGACATGGCACACTCGTCTACATTTAAAATGGAGGGAAGCCTCATGATCCCTGCTTGGCTTGCTGTGAGCCTGACGTTGTCTGTGCTGCAATGTGCAGGGAATTCTGGAAGTTCTGGTCAGTAGCCAACAGGGTGAGATCGTGTCTCCTCCCATGCAGCTGAGGACAGTGATTTTCATTCCTGTCACTAAGTCCTGGACTTGGAAACCGGGGACCCCCGTGCTTTCCTCGATAGAAGGCATTAGTCATCAGAAGGTGACCCACTTGTACTTTCATGTTGCCATGTTGAACGTCGTGCCTGTGCTTCTGCTTGGCTCCGTTTGCATCTGCTTGGCGTCCTCGTGATGATTCTCGCTGACGTCCGGGTATGTGTGTCCCCCTCACAGATGACGTACTTGGCGTTCCTCATGCTGTTCACGTACACTGTGTTGGTGGAGATGCAGCCCCAGCCCAGCGTGCAAGAATGGCTTGTTATCATTTACATCTTCACCAATGCCATGGAGAAAGTCAGGGAGGTGAGTTGTCTCTCCTGCGGTGTCTCCCACATGCCTCTGCTGCAGGTGTTCAGCTCTGGTGGTGAAAATGGGTACATCAAAGGGGGAGAGGAGACAGGAAATGCCCATTCTGATTTCCATGCAACGAAAAGGTTATATGGGGGGGGGGGAATTTCTGATTTCAGTCCCTTATCCTTGTCAAATATTGGGTCATTGGAAATGTCATCATGTATTTTTCTATACGAAAATACGTGTGTTTACCAATCAATTTGGTACCTCTGCAGTTTTTAAAAATTTTATAGCATAACTTCTATATTATCAGTTTTATCTCACAGTATGGCTCATAAATGGATACAGTTGTATAATAGATAAGCAATACATTCATAGCTTTTGAAAGACCTACTAAACATCTTGGAAAATTGAAACTGAAAATCCCTTTAGGACAGATAGTCCAAGAAGCAAAACAAAACAAAACATTTTCATTTCTAGCTTATGATAAATCACTTTTAAAGAAGAATCAACATTGCTAAGCAGTTATAACTGCAGTCACAAGTAGTTATGACTTAGGCTGTTTTAGATGATAGGGCATTGGCGTCTCTATTTCTGCATTTACACACATTTCGTTCTGAGGGATACAAGACCAACATTACATACGAGGTAAATGTGTTTGTGGTAAGTATACCTATATTGCCGGCCAGTAACTGTGTGGAGTTTATAGATTATAGAAAAGAATTTGGGAGAAAAATGTTATCTGGGCCAGCAGGTGGTGCAGAATTTAAGATCTGGATTCCACAGGGTCGACTGAGAAGCTCAAATCCTAGAATCAGCTGCTTGAAAACCATGCCAGGTGCATGTGCATGTGCACTAAAAATCCGTAGAGGAGAATGGAGAAGGGATTGCAGCACGGCCCCCCACCCCCCTGTTCCCTGCCCCACCAAGGGGTGATTTCTCTTTCTTTCTTCCTCTCTCTGACAAATGTATGTGCTTTGTAGTAAAACTTAAAGAAAAAAAGTTATCTGTGCTCTACTATCTTTTATGCTTCAAGAAAAAAGTGTTCCTCTTTCAGTTTGTCTAATATGGTGCTTTAGGGACAATTCCTTTTAAAAGTGAGCTCCAGCATAGCATATTGGGTAGTTAACAACTCACTAACTAGAGGTGGGGGGACTAGGTTTCTATCCAGCGTTGTTCATTCTGCCGTACTTCATGAAATGGAATTATAAGTATGCAGCTCCGTGGCAATACTGAGTTTCAAAATGTCTTGAGATTTTTTTCATGTAAATTCATGGTTAATGAAAGCTAGAAAAAGTACTTTTATTAATTTTTTTTTTTTTACTTCTAGTTAGGTTTTCAAGTGATTGTCTAACATGAACAGTGGCATTAAAATATGTTTATGGGATTGTGTAAGTAACTCATTACTTAGGAGAGTTTAAGTATCTAAAATTCCTGTGTGATTTAAGATTTGACAGGAGTCATGTTACTCTTAAAGAAGCAGTTAACGTACCTGAGAAGATGGTATTGATGGGATTCTTGGGCTGGACACCATTCTTTGAGTTTCACACTTTTTTTCTTTTCTTAGGTTTGTATTTCAGAACCTGAGAAGTTTTCTCAAAAGGTGAAGTTATGGATTAGTGAGTACTGGAACCTAATGGAAACTGTGGCTATTGGGCTGTTTTTGGTTGGTTTTGGCCTTCGGTGGGGTGACCCTCCTTTTCATACTGCGGGAAGACTGATCTACTGCTTAGACATCATATTCTGGTACTCACGGCTCCTGGACTTCTTTGCTGTGAATCAACACGCAGGTCCCTATGTCACCATGCTTGCAAAAATTGTGAGTCCAGGCTGGTTTAATAGTCTAGTCTTCCTTTTAGTGTTGTATCCAATGTCATGGTTCACATCGCTACTTTGAATTATGCAATTATTTATAGACCACCGAGAGCAAGATCATTTCATCTCCACTTTCCATAGAACCACAAGCTCATATTTAACAAATGTCCTTGGATAGTATATTGGGTGTTAATCAGAATCCTCACTTTACCTTGTTGATTAGGGTCAGATAATGTGGGATTGGGTCAAATTTGTCTCTGAGCACAGTAACTTCTGAGGGCCCGGTTTGTGTCAGGTTACCATCAATATTTTCTGTTAAAAAACACATAATATATATAATATGTGTATATTATATATAATACATAGCAAAAAAAATCACTGACTTTTTCTGTTCTATCACACCCTTAAATAATGCTAATGGGCCACATGTGGTTTGAGGTACTTTGTGTATGTTAACTCATTGATTCTTCATAGCACTTTTATGAGGTAGGTTGTATTTTTATCCACATCTTACATACAGGGAAATGGAGGGTAAGTGGAGCCGTAATAAGAGTGGGCCACCTGGCTTCAGCCTGTCATCCTAACTTGCTGTCAGTTGTGTGCCAGCTTTATCCATCTGGCTTTTTGCAAGGAAACCAACCTGTAGGAAGATCAGCCCTCTAGGAAGTGCAGTACCTCAAGGTCATTGTAGACTTTTCTTCTAGAATACTGACTAATGGGGAAGGGGCAAATTTTGGAGAATGAAGAATGATGTTGAAACAGGACTCCGAAGACCGATTTTTTTCTTACTTTACTCTTTTCTCTTAGACCAGAAATGTGTTCTCTGGGGTTGATGACATTGGTGCTTGTTATACAGGCTACGCTGAGATGCTGAGGCGACCAGTATATCTCAGTGACTCAGTGCAAGGTTGTATCTCCCTGATGTAAGGTTTTATGAGTGTTCAGGGGACTTATCTCTCCATTTTGACTCAGTCAGCCAGATTTTTCACGTCATAAACCTGTCAACATGTGGCTACTACTGTCTCCTACTACAGGGAATGAGAAGGATATAGAAAGTCCAACAGCTTTTAGTTGCTTTTGTCAGGAGGTGACCCCAGTCACTATCACTCCACAGCCCATTGGCAACAGTAGATTGCATGTCACAGCCTAATGAAAGTGAGGATAAGAAAGGCAGAGACGCTCATGGAATCCTGATAGAAATTTTAGTGACTACTAACTGACTCTGCTATAGTGAACAAATGGGTTGAGTTGATGTACATTTAATAAGTGAATTGAAACTGGTCTGACCAATTTCATAGTCTCTAATCAGTTCCTGAAGAGAATTCTGAGCATAAGGAGCCATTGGACTAATTTGAATACATATTGTTTTACTTTTTTCTTTTTCTGATCCAACTTCTAGTATAATTGGGGAAAAGTTGGAAATTAGTTAATCAGGTTGTGTTCACATTTGATTACTGATCAAAAAAAGAAGCACAGATTCTTACTCTCAATGCTTTTGTGTTTCATAGACCAGGCTGATTTGAAACATACTCTGTGCAGATGGAAGAGTTTAGAAAAAGCATTCAGTTATTTCTGAACTAGGGTGTATATGTCAATGTCCAGTCTTCTTATTGGCAGGTATAATTAAAATGACTGCTAGTGTTGGCTTTGTTTTGCATTTTAATTCTGTGGTAAATTCTGGTGGTCTGTGTTATCTTGTAGGCAGCAAACATTTTCTATCTCGTGATCGTGATGGCCATAGTCCTGCTGAGCTTTGGAGTGGCACGCAAGGCCATCCTTTCACCAGAGGAGCCTCCCTCTTGGAGCCTTGTTCGAGATGCTGTATTTCGACCATACTGGATGATTTATGGAGAAGTCTTTGCTGAAGAAATCGATGGTAAGTATGGGATTTTGCTATCATGCAGAAATTGAACATTTGTTTTAAAAAAGATCTGGAAAACAACCATCCAAATGATAAAAATATATAGTATTTGTGATTTTTTTTGCAAATTTAAAGTACGTTAAATGTTTGTCTAGAGTCAATGGGACCATGACTCATCTTACTTCTTATTCTTTGAAATTCTTTATTTGTAGTTTGTGAAAGCAAACCATCTTGCCCTCCGGGTTCTTTCCTTACTCCGTTCCTGCAAGCTGTCTACCTCTTCATACAGTGTATCATCATGGTGAACCTGTTGATTGCTGTCTTCGAGTAGGTTATTTTGTTTAAATAAAAAATGGGGGAAGCTGTATTGAGTAAACTCACATGCATATTCAGTACATGACCTCTGGTTTTATGTATTCTATGTTTCATTACTATGGTTTTAAAATATGGGTATGAAACTACTCATAGGAAGAAAGCAGTACATAGGAAATAATAAAATAGTTAATAGAAAATATAATAAAAGCACAGGTCAGTTCTCGGCTTATAGTTAAGGTAGCTGGATTCCATATGGCCAACTGCATGACTCAAGTCCTGGACCCAGTGGCTTGAGAAACACAGTGAATGCATGTGCATGCATGCCCAAAAAATCCTGAAAGGAGGGAAAAATGAAGAAGGGATTAGGGTGTGACCAATCCCTGTGAGGAGTGCTTTCTCACTTTCCCTCTGTGTCTCTCTGACAAGCACACATGGTTTCTAGCCCCACCCCCCCAAAAAAAGGTAAAATAAAGGAAGATCATGAGTTGTAATTAAGCAGTAAGTGAGAATCATGAATAAATAACAGTTAATGGAGTTAAAACTTGGCAAAAGAGTTCTTGATACACGTTCTTAACTTGGCTCCTAGTATATCCCACCTCTTTTCTTCTTTCTCACTTCTTCTCAGTCTCCTTTTGTAGATCATCTTCTTTCTCCCCAGCTGTTCTTCTGATCTCATTTAGTTTTCTGTATGTCCTGACAATGTCAAATGTCAGTTGATATCTCCAAGCCCAGCTTGCTTTCTTAAACTCCAATCAGTAGATCCAACAGCCCCTTCTATCCTAGACAGAAGTATAACAGAATTTGAAAATTCAAGATGTTCAAACTCTTGATCTCCGTTTCCCCACATATTTTTCTTCTACTTGGAGTCTCTCCCAAATCTACAAGGAAGAATATGAGTTCCTGGGACTAGCCGTTGGCATAATGGCTTTATTGCTAGACTCCCATTTAGTCGACCTTGGTTCGAGTCCTAGACCTGGTGGCTTAAACTCATGGGGGACGCGTTTGCATACATGCCCAAGATTCTGAGAGGAGCGTAGAGGAGAAGGGATTGTAGCATGGCCATCCCCCCTGGGGGGGTGATTTCTCGCTTTCTGTCTCTCTGTCTCTCTCTGTCTTTTTGGTGAACACTTGCTCCCTATAGCAAAAACCCTCTCCAAAAAGAAAAAAATAAATAAAGGAATATGAGTTTCTGTTGAAGCTACATCTTTTTAGCTGTTTAGATCAAGATCTCTGAAATCTTAATGTCTCTCGTACCCCCATCTCTAAACTGCCAGGAACTCCCGTTGGCTGAGTGAACAGATCATTAGTTCCATCACCTCTCACTACCGCACCGTCAAAGAGAGCCTCCACCCTCCTCATTTACTTCTCTGCTTCTGTCTTTGGTTTCTGTATTCTGTTTGCAACACAGCAGGCCAGGTGACCCTTTAAAACATGTAGCAGATGATATTACTCCTCCTCTTTGAACCCTTCAGTTTCCCTCTGGGTGAACTTCTATAAAAGTCTGCATGGCCTCATGTGATCTGGCTTCCCTGCAACTTCTTAAGTCACTCACCATGCTGCTCTTCCTCTAAGTTAATCTCTGCAAACACACTGACCTCCCCCAGCTTGTAAAACAACATGGTGCTTTGTTTACAATTGCTGTTCCCTCTGCTTGGAATGCTCTCCCCTCAGAGATGCATGGCTCATTCCCTCACCTGATGCTAGTCTTTGTCTAATCTCCCCTTTAAATAGCTAGAACTTGGCTGTTATAGTTACAAGTACAACTCGCTGGCTTCTGCCATCTCCTGGGTATACCTGGTCCTCCTTAGTGTTCTTCATTTATACCTACTTTTGGGCCAGCCTTGTAGTACAGCAGTTAAGCACTGGGCATAGGGTGCTGGATAACACATAGCCAGCAGTGGTTCAAATCCCACCCAGGCCAGTAGTGTGCAGAACATACAGGGCATACATGTGTGTGCACCTCAGATCCTGAGGGATGGAGAGATGTGGGAGAACGGGTTGTGGTGTGACCACACCCCATTGGGGGGTGTTTTCTTTTTGTCTCTGGCAACCATGTGTGCCCTCTGGCAATTAAAAATAAATAGATTGGGGCCAGCAGGTAGTGTGGTGGTTAAGGTACTGGACTCCCAATGATTTGAGTCCAGGAGTCAGCGGCTTAAAAATCACATTGGATGCATGTGTGTGTGTGCTCAAAATCCTGAAAGAAGAATGGAGGAGAAAAGACTGCAGTATGGTCAGTTTCTCTCTTTCTGTCTCCAATGACATTAGGAAGATATCTTCATAAGGTTGATGATACAGGGAAAGATTAAAGATCTTTACCATGAAGGATGAATCATGAACTAAAAAAGAGCTTTGTATGTGAGAAGAGATTGTTACTCAAGAATAGTGTTGAGTGCCAGAGGGTTTCTGTTCATTGCAATAAAAATGTTTGCATTTTGTTTTCTCTGATTTTAGCTTCTGCCTTTTGCTTATTTTTATGATTAGCATATTTTATTGTAGAAGACGATTAATGTATTTTTTGGTTGAAGAAGAATTACAGTGTATATATATACATATGTATATATATACACACACACACACACACACACACATATATATATATATTTTTTTTTAATTTGTCAGATGTTCCTCTGTGCTTGCCTGGGAGAGAGAGAGAGAGAGACAGTGAGAAAGCATGTGCCACAAGGGAACACACCAAAATTCCTTTCCTCCCTCTCTTCTTCCTTTTGGGATTTTTGGGCACACATACACACATGGGCCTGGCATGTTTTCCAAGCCACCAAGTCCAAGATTTGAACTATGTTGGCCAGGTGGGATCCAGTTGCCTTAACCACCAGGTCACAGGCTGGCCTGGATATTATTTCTATTGGCTAACTGTTGGTAGTGCCAAGAAAAAGAATCTAGCTGCTGTGCTTCAAGATTCTATATTAAAACATTGTCCTTCTCTTCCTACACCTTACAGCACTGTTTTCAAAGATGTGAAATCCATTTCAAATAAACTGTGGAAATACAACCGCTATCGCTACATCATGCCCTACCATGAGAAGCCATGGCTGCCACCCCCTGTCATCCTACTGAGCTACCTGGGACTCCTGCTTCGCTGCCTTTACCATTGTCGAACTCCGAATGACCAGGAAGAGGGTGATGTTGGATTAAGTAAGTTTTAACCGGTTAGGCAGCAAGAAGAGAGTAAAGCATGGAGACCCAAGGTGAAGACATATAGGCATTGAAAATTCAGAGTGCAGGATAAAAAGCATCGGGATTTAGTTGACTACAGAATGTCAGCTGATGTCCTAGACCTAAGTAAATGTGTCGACCTCTTAAGTGATCTGTGCCTTTTGCAAAGATTAGTTGATATTTTGAAAGAAAGTAGGCACAAAATCTTCACTTAATGTATTAATCCAATCAGAGTCATGGTTCTCTCGTTCTCGATTCTACTGAGTACAAAGCTGATTCCGAAAGGAACGTTTCTCACTTTTAAGAATGTGAACTTAGGATGCAAAAATATGGGAAAATGGATTCTCACTCTGGTTTTTCTTATAAATGTTAAGTCTACGTATTTGGAGGTTTTCCTGGTTTGTCTGGTATAGCTGAATCTTGACTACATGATATGACTGTCACTACTTGTCCTATGAGAATGTTGTTTATAGCTGTTTTACACCTCTTAGTTTAAAAGAATATTTTTTAGAGAGAGACTTTTGTTATAGAGTGTGTGCACTCATCTAAAAGCCAGAGAGACGGAAAGTGAGTAATCACTCCCCATGGGGGATGACCGTGCTATAGTCCCTTCTTCTATCTCAGGATTTTGAGCACACATGCACTCTCACCCAACATGAGTTTCAAGACCTCTCCAGGTCTGGGACTTGAACCATGGTCAGTCATGTGAGAGTCTAGCACCTTAACCACTATGCTAGCTTCTGGCCACTCTTTGGTAGTTTTTATCAAGCAATTCCATAATTGGTACAAGGCCCATTTCTAGATAACTCCTAAATATACAGGAAGTAGGTGGCATAAATACACAATTCTTTATCTACATTTCTACATCCAAAATGCCTCTGAAAACTGATTCCTTTTTCTTTAAAAATTGGGCCAAGACTCATTTTGCTGGAAGAGGCTCAGAAGAAGGAATTGATGTAGGCCGTTTATTCTTTTTATCCCTTGTAGTGTAAATATTCTTCAGTTTTGGTGCAAAAATGTATTTGATTTCAGGGCCTGCTCTATCTCAGCTACAGATTTCACTTCACTTATGGTTCATGTACTGCATTACCTCTCTAAAACTAGAAAAGACAAACGATGAGTTCTAAAATGCTCCTAATTCTGAGAGTTCTTGATAAGGAGCGGAGGACTACTTATACCCTTAGAGGACAGGCCATCATCCCCTCTGTATGTTCTTATGGGTTGGGTTAGACAGGGTACTATGCTTCTGCTTGTGGTGGCCAGATCTGTGAAGTGTTTATTCTCCTTTTGAGTAACTTTGAAGATTATTTTTTTCTTTCTCATTTCTTCCCTGTAAGAGACTCAGCCTTCTTATGGAAGCCAAAGCACAACTGAAGTTACCTTGAAGGCTTATGATTATACTGTAAAATCTAGGCTTCTAATACAGAGCCATTCTACGCATTGGCTGTAGAATTATTGCAACCTGCAGTGGAATAAGAACCACTTGAGAGATTCTGAAATTTACTAAGATTTACCCAGACCTCCTCATACCATATGGCAGAAACTTTCCTAGGGTCCCCCTGGTCTAGGCTTGGGATGATTCTATATAAAGCCCAAGTAAGTTTTGGTGGGTGGAGGTGAATTCACCCTGAGCTCTGGAACATTCTTGAATTTTCATGATATTGCTTCCAGTTGTTTAGAGTAAGGATAAAGGTATTTATACATGGGAGCTCAGCCATGGTGGCATGGTCATAAGCTGTTGCTTGGAAGCTGGGACCATATGGGAGGCTTGGGTTTGATTCCTGGCCCAATGTGAACAGGCCAGGTATGGGGGCATAGCCTGTAGTCCTAGCTAACTGGAAGGCTGAGGTAGGAAGATCAGGACATGGTGAGACCCTGTCAAATCTTTTTCTCACCCTTCTTCTTTCCCCTCCCTTTTCACTTCATGTCTCAACAACTAAAAAATAAATAAATAAATTTACACATGGTGCAACAGTGCCACCTGGTAGACAGTTACAGGAAGGTTCCATATACTGCAAATGGCACCTGCACCTGGAACTGCTTTTTGGAGAGTTTACTCTCAGGGGTCCACAGAAGGGGTCCATGTCATGGCGAGTGTAAAAGTTCTTGCTCATAGGAGACTCTTTTGTGCAGACAGACATTTGAGGTGGGTGGGGGTGGGAGAGACTGGATTGTTTTCAACATCTGAAAGATTTTACCACATTAGATAAATCAGAGAACATTAAGTGCTTGCATTGTGAACAGTTTATGGCAAATTGGAACCCATGGCCAGCCATGCTATTTCAACAACTGTGGTATAAATATTACTTTCTCTTAGCCACGTTTTTTTCTATTTAAAATCAATATTTTTTGTTCTTCATTTCATTGGAAAATAATGAAACATTTGCATTTGCACTCCGATTTTATACTTTTAGCACCATCATTTCATTTTTACATTTCCCAGCTATTAGAGACTTGCTCAAAAATCTGTTATTATTTTTTCAATTAAGAGTGAGAACCAGGATGGTAGACCTGATGTGAATGCTAAAGTTTGAAAAAGAATTGCCTTGGCTTCATAGTGTCACGAAACGATGTGTCTTTAGGTTTTTTTTCTTTATTTATTATGGAGTGTGTGCATGTGCATGAGAGAGACGGGGAGAGGGAGCGAGGGAAGCAACCTCCATAGAGTCTGGTCATGTGTGATTCCCCTTCCTCCAGTCCTCCAGTTCCTTGGAGTCTGTGCATTCACACACGTGCCCACAGTGTTTCAGGGACTGAGCTAAGGATTCGAACTGTGGATACCTTATGGGATCTGCCTTCTCATGAGGGGCGCATTCCCACTGCACCATGGCGCCGACCCTGATGTGTGTGTTAATGAGTTAATTATACTGGTGTCTGGGACGATACACAGCCTTGTTTGGTAATTGATTGGTAATGTCTCTCCTTGCAGTAGAAGGACTCAGTATATATGAACTCAGTGATAAGAAGACAATACTTTGTTGTACTTATTGGATTAATTTCAATCAATTTAGCTTTCTTCTAATCTTGGTTTTAACCTGTAAGTTACTTACTGTTATTTCAGTGGCTAAAATAATTGGCAGTGGCCAAGCTTGGTGGTGCAGTCAGTGGCAAACAGATTTGCAGTTATGGAAGAGGCATGGCTGACCACGGGTTCCAATTTGCAAGTTGGCCTGAAAATGGACAGGGTACATGTGCATGCGCCCAAGATCCTGAGGAGCTGGAGGACTGGGGAAGGGGGTTTCTGAGGCAAGACTGTCAAGGGTGTGTCTCGTTCTCTCTGTCTCTTTCTCATATTCACGTACATACTCTATCAGGAATAAAACATTAAACTTTGAAAATAAAAACATAAAAGTACTGGCAAAGAGAAAAAGATGGCAGATTCTTTCCCCATTTGCATATAAATATAGTGAACTTTTGTGACTATGTGAAGACATTCTAACCTATGAAAATATTGATAAGAACCTCTTTGTTCTATATGAGTTGTTCTCAAAACACAAGTAGGAGTGATCCAGACTGGCGTTTCCCATACTTTCTGCGTTCTACTTCTCCATTAATATTGGGAATACGGTGGGATGGGAGGCAACCTTTGATCGCCCAAGCTAGTTTATCCTTTCCAAAGTCAGTGGAAGAGCCACTGCTTATGACCCATATCAGCTTCTTATTGATGGTGGATAACGACTCTTTATGTACCATCCTTATTCCCATAGAACTCTACCTGAGTAAGGAAGATCTGAAAAAACTTCATGATTTTGAAGAGCAGTGTGTGGAAAAATACTTCCATGAGAAGATGGAAGGTCTGAACTGTAGTTTTGAGGAACAAATCAGAGTGACATCAGAAAGGTAAAATATATAAATATATATTGTTTCCCTTCCCAAACTGCTACCAAAACCTGATTCTACTAGAATCCCTTGGAAAGGTTCACTCTCCAATCCCAGAGGTCTGGGTTCTCTAAAATTTGAAGGTTTTCAGTGTATATTTATTGAGCATCTAGTGTGTCTGGTCTTTCTTTTAGTTTCTAGGCGTAAAGAATGAATAGGAGATCAGAGTCCCTGTCCTCATAGGATTTACATTCGTGTGTGTGTGTGCATGTGTGTGTGTGTATGTAGGGCATCGAGGATGGACAGGATGGAGAACAAGAAATAAGCAACAAAATGCATAAAAGAAATATGGCATTTAGTATTAGGCATAAGAGAGCTATAAGAAAAATAACATAGTGCAAGGGCAAAGGAAATGATGGTGGTGTGAGACCCAGATGAGTTGCAGTTTGGGTAGGACTGTTTTGAGTAGCCTGGTCTGGGGAGGTTGCTCCAGGGTCTAAAGGAGAGGAGGCTAAAGGAAGTGAGAGGGGAGTGGGCCAGACAGGGCATCTGATGGAATAGCACACCTAGCAGAAGAAATAGCTCTCACCTTTTAATACTGTCACAATGGTAACTCAATTTCAGCATGAGTCTTGGAGAAGGCACTCAAACTGTAGCAGATGAGGAGTCGTGGAGTTCTCAGGCACTTGACCAGCTGTGTAGTAGAGTTGGAGGCTGCTGCATGCAAGTGGGTGAAGAGAGAACAGAGACATGGAGATAATTGCAGTCAGGTTTAGTGAGTAGTTTTCTATGAAGGAAGGTGAGATGGGATATAGGAACATTGTGAGAACCTTGTTTCATGTGGAGATAAAATAAATGTTTATAGTCCTAGAAATGATCCAGCAGCAAGGAGTGAACTGTAGAAGCAGGAGGGAGAAGACCATTTGCTGAAGTGAAGTCCTTGAGAAGCCAGTTTAATGGTGGGTCTGGGCTTTCCTTCCAAGCACAGGAACAGGAGGGAATAGGGTCAGGGTATATGAGGATGCAGATAAGGTGGTAGGCACACACTTGTTTTTTGTTTGTTTTTCCATGGAGCACATGAGTGCACCAGAGAGAGACATAGTGAGAGGGAAAAGGAGAAATTCTCCTCCCCCACCCCAGGGGGGATGGCCATCCCATAATTCCTTCTTCTCTCTTCTCCTCCTGGGAATTTAGGAATGCATGCACACATCCTCAGTGTGATTTTCAAGCTTGAAATGAACTTTAACCATGGTTGGTCATGTGGGAACCCAGCACCTTAACCACTAGGCTGCTTGCTGGCCCTGGGCACATATTTCTTTAGGTGGATTCGTCAGCTGAAGCTGTGGGTTTGTGTGATCTGGGGGAAGCAGGCCATGCAGAAGTTTGAGGAAAAGGCAGAAGATGTGTTGGAGAAAGTGAACATATTAGGAAACTGTAGTGGGATCAAAGCTACCGTGGACAGGGACCAGCAGTTGGCACAATGGCTATGTTGCTGGACTCCCACACGGTCGACTGTGGTTCGTGTCCCGGACCTGGTGGCTTAAAACTCATGCTGGGCGTGTGTGTGTGCGTGCCCAAGATCCCAAGAGGAGAATGGAGGAGAAGGGATAGCGGCATGGCCATCCCTCCTGGGGGGTGATTTCTTGCTTTCTGTCTCTCTGTCTCTCTCTGTCTGTCTGGCGAGCACACGTGCCCTATAGCAAAAACCTCTCCAAAAAAAAAAAAAGAAAAAAAAAGAAAGCTACTGTGGACAGATTACTAATTGTGGGTGCCTGGTATTGTGATAAAACATGGAGGGCTGTGTGTGATTACATTCTTGCCCCACATGATAGCATTTTGGTCTACAACAAAGTGCACATTCAGTAGTGGTCCTGCAGAGTATAATACGCTAAACTACATAGAGCCTCTGTGCAGTAGGTCATACCATCTAGGTTTAGGTAAGTACTCGCTATGAAGTTTCTGCAACGATGAAGTTGTCTAATGATGTGCTTTTGTGTATGCTTTATTTTAACAGTGGAGTGCATGAGCGCATGCATATAAGAGAGCGAGAGGGAGAAAGAGAGAGACCCTCTACTCAATATACTGTAATCCCCTGTCTCTTGTTCTCCAGCTCTTCTGGATCCTGGCTGTCCATGTGTGTGCCCACCCTCAGGCTGACATGGATTCAAACCTGCAGTTGCCACATGGCTTCCAGTTTGGCAGGGCACTGCGTTATTGCTGTGCCACAGTGGCTGGGTCCCTGTATATACAGTTTTTAAAACACAGACTTGCTTTTTTAAGAGGAAATAAATGGATAGGCATTAAACATGTTTCTTCGGTTTTGAATATACATTTTTGAATATGCATAATTATAAAAATGTCATACCTAATTATGCATGGATTTTTTTCTGATGTCCGAATACCAGATAGATATGAATCTTAAATGTGGCTGTATTTAAAACTGAATCATGGGATGTAATGGTTACTTCGCTGGACTCCCACATAGTCAACCACAATTTGAGTCCTAGACCCGGTGACTTAAAACTCACACTGGGCTTGTGTGCGTGCATGCCCAAAATCCTAAGAGGAAAGTGGAGGAGAAGGGACTGTGGCATGGCCCTTTCCCCTGGGTGGGGACGATTTCTTACTTTCTGTCTCTCTGTCTTTCTGGTGAGTGCATGCACCCTATAGCAAAAACCTAAAAGAAAACCCTAAAAACAAAAAACAAACAAACAAACAAAAAACTGAATCACACTAAAACTTACTAAATGACTCACTATGGGCATAATTCTTATGTATATATTTCTGGACATTTCTATGGATACCATATGTGTTTATGTAACTGAATTTCAGACAAAATTTAATCTTGAGAAAGGATTTAATATCAGATAAAGATTTGTGAGTCTTCCAAAGCCTATTTACCTAATTACTGTTTCTAGGCCATGGCTTTATGAACTCCTTTGTTTTTCCCCCTTCCACACTGTTTATCCCTACACAGTGATTTTCATGGAGTCCAGTGGGTCAGCTTGGTTCTCAGTGTTTGTACAGCATATACCCATAGTAGGGGCTTGCCAGGCTGGGCTGCCATCCTACTTCTGCCACTTACTAGTCATGGGCATGTGGGAAAATGTACTGAGCCTCCTTGGGCCTCAGTTTTCTTATCTGTGAAATGGACATGAAGACAGACCTACCTCTTAGGTTGTGCAGATTAAATGAGAAAATACAGGTGATCTCGTGGCAGCGTGCTGGGAGGTAGTAAGGGTGCAATGAAAGTTATCTACTATTATGTAAAAATAGATTCCAGGGTATAGTTTATTTTGAAGAACAGATTCCCTTCTAAACCTTCAGAAAAGAGGAAATCTGGACAGGCTTCTACCCCCCAAGATAATGCACCAAGACAATGTCATGAAGAGCCTCTTAATGTGAGAAAATGTGGTAGTGAAGGAGTTCTTCCAAAAGTTCATAGAAAATTTGTATTCTGAAAAAAACTTATGCATGCTTTTAAATTTGGGGGGGGGGCATCAAAAAAAAAAAAAAAAAAAAAACCTCTTGCACTTTAGTTTCATGTGCTCCCCGTGGACTTTCTGAAGCACTGTTGTATTGACTAAGGAGGGGTTTTAGATGGTCAGCAGCTTGGACACAGTTACCTTCCAGACACTTTCCTTCAGCTACAGTGTGGATTTGACAGGTCAGAATTGGAACCAGGGAGGCGAGAGAATGGTGCAGCAGACAGATGAGTCCCATAGCCTGGCCAAGGTTAGTGAGAAAAAGGAAGAATAAGATACATTGAGAAAAGGCAGTTTGTGAAGGGGGTTCGGAGTTGGATGTGGAGCTGAGGAAGAGAAGGTATGAAAGGCATAGGGGAAGCAACGAGTTGTGGATTTGTTGAGCTAGAACTTTTCATGCCACATGGAGCTGGAGAGGCCCAGGGGGCTTTGGGTTATGAATCTGCAGCTCTGGGAGCAAGTTGGAACTGAACAAGGCAATATTCTGTCTATTGGGGGAGTCACCTGCAGGAGTCATCTGCTGCTTGTGGGTAACTACAGGTCTGACGGAGAGTGCGTAGGCCCAGGTAGCAGGAGAATGAGGAGACTTGGTGGGCTGTAGGCACACTCTAGGTGGAGCCAGCACTGAGAAATAGGTGGAGAAAGAAATGTGTGGAGAAGACTAGCAAAATCAGTCAGGAGCACAAACAGAACTAGGAGAAGGTGGTGTCATAAGCCTAGTGAGTATCTTAGGAAAAAGTGCAATGCATTTTTGTATAGAAAAACATGTCATTGCTTTTCTGACAACCCAATAGAATGAAGTAAACATTCACAAACCAGTAATTCAATGATGATAGTAACAACAAAATCTTAATCATCATATACTATGATATCTCTCTTGGACTCTTGGAATTAGTGGATTAGAAGTTAGATGGGTATATAGCTTCTGAAAAATGTGGATATATTGTGGATAAAGAATGTATATATTATACATACATCTATACATTACAAAGCTCTAATTTAACTTCCAAATGCAATCAGTTTTCTCTCTTGATGGCGTTATCTCAGTGGAACTGTTTTTACACTGTCATTCCTGTTGAGGTCATTTCTGGGGAGCTCAGGTATGGGAGGGAGGAAGATATTTCTTGAGGTAACTGAGTTTGAAAGTTTGAGGAGAAAGGGAAAGGAGATTCGGAGGACATTTGTGTTTGCTTACCTCTACAGAAGAGATCTATACCCTTCTAGGTTCAGTGAGTTGTGACCGTGGGAAGAGAATGGAGGAAGGCTGTTTTGTATCTCACGTTCCCTATTTGCAACACCAGCTTCTTTTATTGACCCCAGGAGTGTAAAGCAGCGTTTCCCTCTTTCTGTTTTATGGAGTAAGAGGATTTTAGGTATTTTCCTTTATTAAAGCATGTTTGGCTGTGCCATATTTGAGGAATGCTGTGTTTTTAAAAAAGTTTAGACACTTGGGACCAGCAGTTAGCATAATGGCTATGTCACTGGACTCCCATGT